CAAGCTAATTTTTGTCTTTTATTCAGAGATACTAATTACGATTCAAAACTTTCGAAGTTTGGGGAACATAAGCACCGTTAGTCCTTTTTGCCAAAATGTAAACACTATACGTCTGTACTCTAGGTGTAACAGCCGGTTATTGACGCGGCCAACCGGCGTGAAAATTTTCATGCATGTGCAGGAAGGTCGGCATCACCAATCACCCAAAGAATTTTGCCCGTGCAGCCTGAGTTCTGACGGGAAAAAATAAAGTCGGATAATTTTTGAATGCATCACGTATAATAAGTTGTTTTAAAACAAAATAATGTTGGCTTCTAATTTAAAATTCTTAACATAACCATTTCAGATGATTCTACAGGGAAATGAATTTAGTGATAATCAGAAAGCAACGAATTGGGATGACTAGAACGAGGTCGGATAGAACATTTTCAGCCAGCTGCAACATTTTTATTTTTCATATAACTTGCAGTGTAATGCAACAGGCGGATTGTACACAATTATGAACTGTTTTCAGCGATTGCAATACCTGTACATGGTTTGGGTGGCGGGAACTACCCAATCCCCTGTTTCCGCTCTTGATAGAATTCAAAAGCTTCTCCGAGTCCTTGTTGAAGAATTATCTTCTACCCTCCAACCTCTCTCTCTCTCTCTCTCTCTCTCTCACACACACACACACACACACACACACACACACACACACACACACACACACACAGGCGAGATGTGGCGAGTCTCTCACTTCTCTATCGCTACTACCATGGAAAGTACTCGGACGAACCACATTCTTTGGTTCCATCAGGTCTAACTTTCATGGTTAGGACCCGCCATGTCACTTACATTGCAACAAACCACCTGTATTCCATTGGTGAAAAGTAAGTTCCACTCACATTCCGTGTGACAATAAAATTATTGTGGGCGTTGGGTAATGTTTAACGAGCTGGTGTGGTTGACCGTTACGAATGGGTATGGAGACGAGATTCTTACTGGGTAACCTATACCTGTAGCCTCGTGTCAAAGTAAGTTTAGTTTTTAGGAACACTTCAGCGTGGGATAATGTTTAACGAGCTGGTCTGGCTGACCATTACTATTGAGTCATGAGTTCTATCTTCACGGGGCGCCCTATACTTGTGACCTTATACCAAACTAAACTAAGCTTAGTAAATGACGACAGCTTATTAATAGCAACATTGAAATCGTTACTCTCGCCTACATTCTTTTTATTATTATTCACCGAATAGAAGGCCCAAGAACAACTCGCGCTAGAGCGTAACTAAATGAGGTTGTTGTAAGGACATACAAGTAGAGAGCAAGAAGTGCATATTATGAGGATATGTAGAATATACAACGGTTGATCCTAGATTTGAAGTAGTGATCATATACGCATCCTCTCGATTATCTATTCCGCGAGGCAAGAGGCCTGAAGAAGAAGCTCTCTAAGTGAAACTTCCTCCTTACAAATGGAATATAAAGAGAATAAGGATGCTTCGACTCTGTGTAAGTAGCATGACGGATCCTAGCTGTGAATGTCGGAATTGTTGAAACCAAGGAATCTCCCATGATAAAAAAAAATATAAATTAATATATCCATGGTGAGCAAATATTATGGTAAATCAAATATATTTGGAAGGTGTGTAAGAATAGCTAAGTACAATGACTTATTTTAGTGTGTTTATATTAGCAGATTTGCATGCATAGACATATTAACAGGAGATTTGTATGCATAAACATACTAACGTATTATTTCCATTTGGATTTTAATTGATGATTTTTATTAAAAGAAAATTTTTATTTAAAAAAAAGCGAACATTAACTTCATTGTTTGAGAAAACAGAGATGTCTACTGACATGTATCCAATTAAATAGCCATAGATATAATGTACGAAAATATAGTAAAGCAGGTATAGACATTTAAATGTCCCAAGGAGATATATGTCGTTCTTAAAAGAGTTAATTCAGACATGCTTTGCTCTAAAGATCTATGTGGATGAACGGTAAAGCATAGCTGGATAAAAAATGATTTCCCCCTGACGGACATGTATCCACTAAAATAATAATAATAATAATTGTAATAATAATAATAAGTACCAAAACCTCGCAACCATATCCTATCACTGTTACATAATCAAGGATGAAACTAACCCGAAATGCAGGATCTGCGGAAAATATGATGAAGCTGTCGACCATATTATCTCAGGATATCCGAAACTAGCAAAAAATGAATATACCCACAGACATAACAAAGTAACGACATATGTCTACTGGAAGATATGCAAGAAGCTCAAAATCGAAACCACTGAGAGATGGTATGAGCACCAACCAGACACTGTTACCCAAAATAACGATGTAACTATCCTCTGGGATATGCCAATTCAAACTGACAGGGAAATAAAAGCTAACAAACTTAATATCATAAACGACAAGAAATTCAGGAAGTGTATGTTTATTGACATAGCAGTAGCATCTGAGAGAAACACCTCCATGAAAATTATCGAGAAATTATTCAAATACAAGGACCTGGAGATCAAGATTAACAGGATGTGGGGAAATAAAGACCGAGACTGTACCAATAGTAATCGGAGCTCTGGGCCTCGTGAGAAAAGGAGTGGACAATTTTACTAACAGTGTTCCAGGCAACATCAACATACAAGTTGCCCAGAGTATTGCCCTACTAAGAACATCACATATGCTAAGAAAAGTGCTGTCAATTAAATGACAATTCTCCTATAGGGCCTAAGGAACATTGTTTGGGCTCGACTCTACAGGATACAAAGCAGGAAACATAACATACAAAAATAATAATAATAATAATAATAATAATAATAATAATAATAATAATAATGTGTATGAAGAGAAAAGAAAGAATTTAATCAATTGAAGGCAAATGACGAAATATCTCGTGAGAAATATATTTCTTCTGTAACGACTGACAATATACCGCGCGTGAAATCTCTTTGTCCTGGGTATTTTTCCTCTAGCCACGAATTGAATATTCATTCAAGGCAGTCTGTAGATAGCGATGAAGGAAATAAAAGAAGATGGCCCTAGGGCGGTTGATATGATGTTACACAAAATTTTTCCTCTCCAAAAGCGCTAATATTTAAAGATTATAATTTTGCGCCACAAAGAATTGTTCAAACTGCTAAGTAACCTTGACATATTTCGGAAGGATATTAGAATAATCCAGAACCTATACTGGCAGCAAATTGTTTGTATACGGATAGGAAATTAGTTCAGTCAATATAAAAAAGGGATGTAAGGCAAGGATATGTCTTCTCACCTGACTTATTCAACCTATACAATGAAGCGATACTGAGAGAATTAAAAGTCCTACCAGAATTCATTATTGGTAGTAACAATATTAACATAAGATATGCAGCAGACACAGAAGGTAGTGAATGAAAACAAGAAGAAAAGACTAAACACCAATTGCAAAAAGACAGAATGCACGGTTGTCAGCAAAAGGGACAACCCAACATGCAAATTACAAATTAGGGATACCAAAATCAAACAAGTACAACGGTATAAACAGCTGGGAAGTGTTTTAACAAGACAGAAAGTGCGATACTGAAATCCGAATGGACACTGGAATAGCGGAAGATGTCTTCCAAAAGCTAAGCAAAGTATTAAGAAACAGGAAAATCTCATTAAAAACAAAGAAAAGAGGGCTTAACTGTTATGTAATATCAGTACTCCTCTATGACAATGAACAATCTTCTCACAGATGGAGAGAATTTAAGCAAGAGAAAAGTGGTTCTACTGAAGGATGCTGAGAATACAATAGACGGAGCAACAACAAAGTTTTAGAGAAAATAGAAACAAAAAGGACACTTATGTTTAACATCAGAAAAAGACAGTAGAAATTTCTAGAACACATAATGAGGAAAGAGGGCTTGGAAAAACTGATATTCACAGGACAAATTGAAGGCAAGACGGACAGAGGGAAACACTGCATAACCTACCTAACGAACTTGTGTAAATGGATGGCATAATAGGGTTTAGGGGAGTTTTTAAAAAAAGACAAGCTTTATTAAGGACAGGAAATTGTGGAGAGCAATAATCGCCAACGTCCTGAAGGGATACTGTACATAGATGAAGAATATAAGAGGCAGGAAAGTTTCGTTGAAAACAGAGAAAAGAGTACTGAACTGTTACGTGATATCCTGCATGGCAACGAATGCTGGACAATCTCCTCAAAGATGAAGAAGAACTCGAAGCAATAGAAATTTGGTTCTACAGAAGGATGCTAAGGATACCATGGACCGAACATGTGAACAACGACGAGATTTTGGAAAGAATGGAAACAAAAAGGAAACTTATACTTTTAACATCAGCAAGAAACAGTTGAAATTTCTGGGGCACGTAATGAGAAAAGGAGGGCTTGAAGAATCTGATACTCACAGGGCAGACAGAGGGAAAGAGGGACAGAGGAAAGCAACGCGTGACATATTTAATGAACTTAAGTAAATGAATGCTAGAACAGGGTTTGGGAGAAATAACAAAAAAAAACAAAAAAAGGGCTTCAAGGGACAGGAGGATGTGGAGAGCCATGATCGCCTACTTCCTGAAGAAGAGACTCGTTTTGATCAATGAACAACCGTTCCAGCCTTATATTGAGTGATGCGTAATCTGATCTCCCTCCTTCTACTCCCACCCTTCCTCTTTATTACTTTGTCTTGACTTTTCTTTACTAGTGTGGTCCGAGTAACGGGGTCATACAAATATTTCCAGTCTTTATCGATTTTTCTGGAATAGAACAAAGGCTATTATATCATTTAGTGCATATCACTTATGTTAATCGCTTTTTTCATAGCTTGTTCATATCCCATGCTCTCTTGGAATACGTTCAATGTCCTGATTAAAATTATTTGGAAAACTGCACATTGAGGAATCCTCTCATTATGGCCGACGAATTTGTCATTCACTAATAATCAATAAAGTTTAGAGAAAAATAACTTTCAACAAAGTTGAAATAGTCTTGCTTCAGCCAGTATTTAGCGGGCTTACGGCCACATCTTGTCGAAACATCGGTTCCCGGACGATCATCAAAGTTAAGCAAGTCGAGCCTGGTCAGTACCTAGATGGGTGACTGCCCGAGAATACCAGGTGCTGTAAGGTTGGATGTGCGGGTGGTGTAATGGCTTGGAATTATTAATCAGAGAACCGAGTTCAATTCTAGTTGGGTTCATTGTATTCACTTACGTCCAAATGCCCTTAGGAATCGTATGAATTTACTTCTTCTCCCCCCCCCCAGTCATGGGTTAATTAGTAAGATTTGTATCACTAAAACCATTGTTATCTCCAAAAAATAAAATAAAATAAAAATTACGTACAAAATATTTAGATTTCGGCATTAAATATCCCATGTAGGTTGATATGTCACTAAACAAAAGCAAGCAACTAACTAACCAGTATTTAGCCAACAACAACTTTACGCTGATTTTTCTACAAAATGTAGTAGTAAAAGTATTAAACAAAGAAGAACAATACCGCAAAATAGAAGAAAAGTTTTAAACAAAGCACATTGCTATTTTGGGGGGGCATGGGTGAGGCGGATATCGTTTTTCATTTTGTCTATCTAAATCCGTATTTAAAACTATATTTCTTTTTTATGGCTTATTTAAAGAAAGACAAACTCTGCTTTTAGTTTCTACGATCCACCGTGGAATTTTTAGATATTCTATAAGTTATAATAACCTAATTCCTATGTAAATTTGAACAGGAATCATTGAATTGGACAATGGAATCGACGAGGCAAGTATATAGTTGCGATTGATGTTCATAGAAAAGCTCTTGGGAAAAGTCATGAGTCCACTTCTCTGTAAGCTCCCTCTCCGCATAAATCATCCTCTGATCTGGGTCTTGTCAATGGTACACTACTGTTCCACAGCAAAAGAAAAGTAGCTACTATGTTTACTGTTCGTCTCGACTGACAATAGTCGATGCAATGTGAACAGTAGCTGCAACAATTAAAGAAATACGATCATTAAATTTGTCTGTTTTCTTGTGTTCTTTCCCTCTTGTACTGCTCCCAGAAAATCGTCTAGAAGCGTTGACTACGAAATAAATTAAGTAAATACATTATTGCGCCAGATTCGATAAAAACTTGTTTGAATATTACATGCTATTGATGGATCAATGCAACAGTTTGAACAGAGGAAAAACTACCGACCATTATTTTAAATAAAATGCGATAATTTACGAAGTTTTAGCAAAAAGTAATACCCACCTAATTTAATCTTTAAAGTATTAGTGACAATTCCCATTTCAAACTAAAAAAAAAAAAAAAACGAAGAAAATTTGTAGATTTACTTTCTCTTTTTATAATCATAATTCTCTTTTAAAATGGCTGCCCTTCTGAACGCTAAAACGAAAGAACTGTCATGGGATTGCTGTTTCGCGAAGAGAATGTACTGTGCAAATATTGACAGAAACTTAGTGAATACTTATGGAAAATCTGCATTCAATATAAGCACAGTAAGGAGATCTGTCAGTTGAGTTAATGGCATTCCTTAAAAGAATAAAGAAATTAACCTTAGTAACAGGATCCGTAGTGACAGGCCAGCTTCTGCCGTGAATGTGGATGAGAGCTAATAAGCTGATGTTCTCATCACAATTAACAGAAGAATCACAACTGGTAAACACTGTGAAAGCTTTTAAGGAAGCCGTGGTAGTACCTGCAGTTTAATGCTGTCACTTGGCTGCCCAGAAGTCTGTACAAAGTGACTTTCAAAAATGTTAGTAGACTCCATCAAGGAGCAGGAGATCTATTGGAATTACATAATGCTGTTATTACTCAATGGACATCATTTATTGGCACATGGCTAAGATATTAGCCAAGTTACTTCTACGAGTAGAATAAATGCACTGACTCAATGGTGAAATATCACGAGTGAGAAGAAAGGAAACAATGTTGAAATTTGGAAGAAAGTCTTGGAGTCTTGTTTATTCTCATGTGTCTTGGCTGTTTGTTTGTTTAGCGACATATCAACACCTTATGGGTCATTTAATGCTGAATTTTAATTTCATTGGGAGCATTAGTAACTTTCTTTACAAAAATGTATTACTAGTCATTTTTTTTTCAAACATTTATTTCTGGTATTTTCACTACAAAAATGTCTTTTTATACTTTCATAGCGTTTGAGTCCAGTTTGGTGGGGGTTAATGATTTGCCCATGGCTGGGACATTAAAAGGTGCCACCACCCCGTATCAGGGTGGACCTGAGAACAACATCAATTCCACATTCCTCAACACCTCCCGATCTTGCTGCCAGATGTAGTTTATCGTCATACCCAGGACAGCACAAGAACAGCGTCAGTCAAAAATCTAACAAGCATTTACCAGAGCTTTCCGCTATATGTACATAAATATTGCAGCCCGGCAGAGCATCCTTGAAACCATTGTAATAAAGGCATTCAAAAAAGAAAAAATGCTGCCTCACAAAGACACTGTGAATATGAAATTCCAAAACATCCAATCTCTCGATCAGGTTGTCTTGCTGCCAGATGTAGTTTATCGTCATAACCAGGACAACGTGTGTTGTATGCTTCTAATATTAAACATGTATTTAGAGAACAAACATTTTTTGGGTGGGGGTGGACTCTATTTAATTTATTTTGTATTACTAAAATCATGAAATCTTCAACCACATGACGTACATTGGGCTTATTTTCGGAGTAAACCAGAGTTGTCTCGAAATTTGGACAAATATCGGATATTGAACAAATGAGGGCTTTACCTGGCTATGGGGATTACCTCGTGGGTTAATGGTAAACGAGCTAGTCTGGTTGACAAAATACTACTCTCTCACTAGTCCTCGGTATGACAATAAACTACATCCGGCAGCAAGGACTCTGATCGAGAGATTGGAAGTTTTAAGGAGCATGAAACCACCCTCTTAATTTCTGTTGTTTCCGGGTCCCCACCCTGAACCTAGGTGGTAGCACCTGTTAGGATCTCATCTAAGAGCAAATAGTTAAACCCCAAACTGGAGTCAAAACACTATAAAAGTATAAAAACATATTTTTATAGTAAAAATATAATACATTTTCATGGTAAAAGAATAACCAACAATACATTTTTGTAAAGAAAATTACTAATGATTCTCATTGTTATTTTAGTCTGATGAACTCCTTTTGAAGAACGAAAAGCGTTATAATTTATTTTCCTATTTTCTCATTCAATTAGCCACCATTTACCTAATATCCAGACGCTTTTTTTAATCATTTTGTACCAAACAAGGCATTAAAGTCCCTATGACGCAAGGAAGAGACCGGGTGTAAGAGAATATGAGAAAAACTACTATTAAGGAGAGAAACAATAAAAGAACAAGAATTAAGAAAACAGAAGATAACAATTGAAATTGCTTTAAATTGTTGAAGGTCAAAGTTGACTGGAAAGCAAGAAGCCGAAAGAGAGTTCCGCAAACCAAAAGAAACTGTTAGAATCAAATTTACGGTTACATCTAGCCATTTCAATTATAAAATGATATATTTCTCCCAAGGAGAAAAAAACAACAGAGATAAATAAGGAGAGAGTTTTCATTTGTCATCAGCACAATGAAATAGAGATGCTGAACTCAAAAGCCTTCGTTGGCAACCAACCGAGAAGGATAATTCGGAATTCAAATCTATGGAGAAGGTGACGGGAAATCACTCCCCAATCTCTTCCTTAGGAACAATGCAATATACAGTTTACAGAGAAAATTAAAAAGGAGGCTGTGGCGGGCCATGTTCGCCTACGTCCTGAAAAGACATGACATTTTTGATTTATTTAAAATGTAATGATCTATTATGTTATGTCTCAAATTTGCATTTAGATACATTGTAATTATTTTCAATTTTTCTAGTTGAATTTTTCACCTATATGATCCATTATTGTATATAATTAGGTTACAATAAAATTTGTATTTTATATGAATTTCTACCTTATGAAAATTGAGATGTGAGGGACGAGAACCATGGACTGGCCCTGATCAAACCGATAAATTATATTCAGTATTATCGCTTTCCGAAATGAAAGCCGTTACGATCGGAAATTTATCTGCAAATAACATGTTTCTGTTTTGAATGTTTTTTAGACGACCAGTTGGAAGCCTTTTTTTATATTGGTTCATTCGAACTAATTTCCTCGTCTTTCTTCTCACATTTGATTGGCATTCATTTATGTTCCGGGAGATTTCCTGCTCTTGTTCTTGAACATCAGCATGAAATCAGCTTGAAAATAACACATATTCAGTACCCGTCACGTTGAATAGACAAACATACACCATCACCGTAACGACCACACCTAACTGCAATGGCAGCCCCAGAAGCAGCAGCCAGCAATTATGGAAGTTTGATTCTCTCAGACTTTTCTGTTGCTCGCAAAAATGGAAATAGACAAAACAAAAATGACACATGGCCCAGTGGATAACAGCGTTGCTTGAATCCAGTGACTTGACCCAAAGAGTTGTGAGTTCAATACCTGGCTATTGCAGTGGTGAACAAAACCTTGGAAAGTTGAGTTAAAAAGAGATAACAGAGACATCCTGAAGAGGCATGGCACGTGAAACTAGAACAATCTACCCTGATGGACGAAATAAAGGGTTCAGTTCAAAATTCCAATCACCTGAAGAAGGCCGGAACGTACAATGGCCGAAACATCATGAATATGGCAACAAAGATCAGGACAACAGTCCAAACAATGTAAATAGTGTAAATAATTACAATACCCCATCTCAGAAATATAAACAGATAAGAAAAAAGGTTGAAGTTAACCTATTAACTGCAAATAACGGAAATATCTGTTCGTAATAATACAAGAATAAATTTTTCATACGTAAAATAATTGTTTATTCCCTTCAGAACTCCTTCAAGTCAACGTCGAAGGTATGTGGTTTCGGAAACTTTCTTCAAATGTTCGATCTTATTCTCGTGAAGATGTGAGGAATGTTGCTCATCCCCTTGTGGGTCTGGCGTTTATCATCATCATCATCGAGATTGAACTCACTAATACTTTGATTGGTGTAGTTCATAATTTTGTCAAATAGCTAAATTCTTGATGCTTCGCTAGGGCTATCAAGGGTGTTTTTATCGTGACACCATCACTAAATGGATTGCCAACCAAGGCTCAG